ACGAAGAATGGTTGATCATGTCAAGACAGTCGATCGATGAAGAATGGTTGGTCGAGTCGATCAGGTAGGTGGCGGTCGATTGGTCGAGCGGATTGAACGATAGCCCATCAAGCCAATAACATGGATGACTTATCAACAAAACATGAAAAAATAAGACATTTTTTATACACATTTTAAAATTCATGCCAAACATATCGGATGAATGCAGATTCATGCATGAAATGAGGACTAATTGATTTTGACGGCGAAACCAAGCTTGTCATTGCGATCTCACAGGGAACCTAGGGTGAAAGGATGGAGAGGTGTACCAACTCTTTATTGCTGAAGCAACAAGACACCTACCTCTGTTTGCATGACACGAGGAGGGGAATCACTCACAAGGAGGATTCTCCACGACCAAGAGGATGAAGACCAAAGGAATACCTTCATCTTCTTGATCGATGAGTTTCAAATGTTCGTCCGGATGAAACCACCGATACAAATGATGGGATCAGTATAACCCCACTTTCAGATTTCTTATCTAAGATAAGAAAATTGTGATTTTTTCTCTTTAGATTTGTAGGGGAATCGCAAGGGCTCTTCACCTAAGGGGGTTTCTCTCTAAGCACAAAAACTTAACCTATAATCTTTAACATCCAGAACTAGGGGCTCTAGAAATGGAAAAGCAAGAGTTTGGAGGAGTTCTTACCACCGTGATGTTGATTAAAACATTCTCTTTAATTATTTTGAGCTCCAGCGTTGTTTTGGCAAGGTTCGCTTCGCTCCTTCCTAGAAGAAACTCTCATTTAAAAGGAGAAATTAGTGAAGTTCCAAGCTCCAACCTCCACTCCTTCCCCATAGAGTGAAGAAGCTCTCCTTTGACATAGAAGAGATGATGCCCTCCTCCAAGAAGCTTTCTCTACAGGCTTCCTCTTTCAAGAGCTTCTCCTCTAACATTGCCTTACACACTTAAGAAAGGTGGTAGGGAGGAAGAAGAAAAGGAGGGAGAAGAGATTGCAGTGCAGGAAGATGAGTTTTGAGAGAAGAAGATGAAAAAAGGAAGAAGCTTCTTACTTTTCCTACTCAAGAACTCTCCAACTTAAGAGAAACTAGCCCGTAAAAATCTTCTCCAATGAAGAAGAAGAAGGTGAGCTCTCCTCTTGCAAAACCAGCTCTCCTACTCTCTAATGGCAAGAAAAAGAGGAGGACCAACCAAGCCTTTTTCCCTCTCCCTTTAAAAAAAAAGGCCTGCCCACCTTTTCTCAAACCTTCCCAAAAAGGCTTAGAAAAGGTCTCATCCACAACATTTTCTCCACCATAGGCATATCTCCCCAAAATCCAAGAAAACTGCACTTTTCAACTGCCTAGGGAGGTGTGTCGGGTTAAAATTTTGAGAAAAAAAAGTGGGGTCTAAAAACAGGCTGTCTTTTAGGCACCGAGACCTTGGCACTTGATTTTGAGCGCCTAGGCGTTGCGACCGTGGCACCTATTTTTTGCTCTCTTGGGTTCAAGATGTTACATTTTGGGTTGTTTTACGTGTTGGGGGTCTGGCGCCTAGGCGTCAAACTTGGTGTCTACTTTCTAGCCTCTCGAGTTTAAAATAACTATTTGTTGTCTGTTAAATTTCGACTTGTATATTTTGGAGGTGGTGGTTGTTGATTAAGTCTGACTTCACTTTGTTATATGGTAGTTGTTGATTTGATTTGGATTCACTTTCTTTTACAAGTTATGAGTTGTTTCTCCAAGTACTTTTATCTTTTGGTTTTCGCTTTCTTAAGTGGATTATGCCAAGATGGTCATTGAGAGCCGTTTGTGAGGCGATTGGTTTTTCTATTTAGATGGAACTTTAAGTTAGAACTTTTATGTTCTGAGATGAGTTGGAGTTGTTGTTGTTTCAAGTCAACTTTGATTAGCAGTGGAGTCAATCCATAATGTTCTGAAGTTTTGAAAATTGTTGTTTTCCTCATCTAGTGAAGTCTACTATAGTCACATTCATTTAGTTGGAGACTGCCAGTCAATCCATAATGTTCTGAAGTTTTGAAAATTGTTGTTTTCCTCATCTAGTGAAGTCTACTATAGTCACATTCATTTAGTTGGAGACTGTCAGTTCAATTAAATTGTAGTTGTTGATGTTTCTAATCAAAGATTTGTCTTCAGTGTTTTGTTTTTGATATCTTATGTTAATATAAATCGTAGTGGTTTCAACTTCAATTAGTTGGGACTTCTGTTTGGATTTGTTGGACGAATTATTATTTTTCCCTCTTGTTTCAATGACTGTCCAATAATTAATAGTTTTATTTTTAGGATTTTTTTAATGTATTTGTCCTTGTTATGGTGTAGAGCCTGATTTGGGGCACCACAATGGTGCGCTCCAGCGCCAACTTCTGGGCGCTTCTGTTTCCAACTTGAGGCGCTCATGCGCCCATAAGCAGTAAGTTGGGCGCTTCTACCCCGATCGTGGGCACTTCTGCGCCCAACTTCTGGCGCTTATGTGCCTAAGTCTCGGTGCACTTATGATTTCATGTTTTTTTTTTCCTGAGTGACTGGCGCTTTAATGCCCACTTCCTACGCTCTTGTGTCAGATAAGATTGGCTCTCGATTTCGATTTAAGATGTCATTTTCAACGAAGAAAAATTATCGTTTAGACACACGAGTTCTTCAGCAAGTCTCCGGTGAAGGAGAAAAGTATCTAAGAGGAGAATTTTGATGTGTGTGAAATCGAGACGAAGGATTTGAAGTGACATTTTGTAAGCTTCCTCGATTGTAAAGATAAAATCTGAGTTTGTTCTCTGCAAACGTTCTATATTCATTGTGAAAATTTTTGAAGATACCTCCTTCTGTTCTTTTCTGGATTGTCTTTCTTGTGTTCTCATTTCTATTTTTAATTCTATTTTCTCAAATTTATGAGATTGGTGTAGCTCCTTATTGAAGGTAAGCCCCACTATAACATAAGAGAATCTTCCATCACAACACATCTTTTATATTTTTATTATTTTATTAATAAAATTGAGCGTGAACTTCAAACTAAAAATATATATATATATATAAAAATCTTTTTTTTATTTCTACAAAAAACGTGAGTCACGATTTAAATATGCGGTGGAAAATGCATTATTAAAAAGAACGGGCGGCGTGGAATCCAAGCATCAATCTTCGAATCTGCTTATCTCGTTTCCCTCTTCATCCAACCACCAAAGAAAACGCTAACACCCCTCTCTCTCTCTCTGTGTGCGATTCAATCAATCCCCTCTATCCTTCTCAAATCCAAGTTTCCATCGAGATCCACCTCCTTTTTTCTAATGGAATCACCAAAATCGGGATCGGATTCAGAGTCGCCGTGCTGGAAAAAGAAATCGGCGGAGGAAGGGCTGCTCGCCGGTGTGAAGGATCACGTCGATCAATTCGTTCATACCTCAGTGGAGCAGCATCGGATCTGCCTCAAGAAGACCATCAGCGGCCTTTCCGAGTTCGTCAAACGCCGCAAATCACGGACTGTAGGTTTTTCTTACCTATTCTTACAGAGCGCCGCTTATTCCGAATACTTTTTACTCCCTTTTTTTTTCTGCAGATTAATCGATCGTCGGTGATGAACGAGACGAGGATTGAACCGCCGGTTGAATTCTAGGGTTCGTTTTTTGTTCGAGAATGGTCGATTTTGGATTATTTATAATTGTGATTCACAGTTTTTGGGAGTTTCCAAAACTGGTAATTGCTGGTGAAATTTGGTATGATTTGTCTATGATTTTACTAGGAAGTTTTTTTTTTTTTTCTTCTGAATTTAATTTGCGTTGTGAGGGGAGAAGGAATTGCAAGAACTCTGTTCTGTTTGAAGAGATTTGAAACAGAGGAAACCTAATGGAATGTAGATGAAAATTGTAAAATAAATTAACTGTAATTTCTTCACACGCATTTGTTCTGTTCTGAGAAGAAATTCATTGAAAATATGTATCTCTATAATTTCTTGCCTGGAAGATAACGTTTTGGGAGATTTAGAAGCATATCACACAATTCTTTACATATCCACTGCCAACGTTTAACATTGAATTCACATACATAGCACCAAATTCCTATGCATTTACATCTATAAAATTTGAACTTTGATTTCATATCTAAGCATCAAGCCAAGCCTAGGCCCGGAGGTTCACCAACAATCAAATTTTAATTTAGAAGTGAGAAAATAGGATCAAGATTCAAAACTAAAACAGATTGGCAAGATTAAATTGAGCTCAAACCGAACTTCTTTACTCTTTCAGCTTGTTAATAAATCAAGTTTGAATAAGTTCCAAAGCCAATTCAACTCATTTACACGCATAGCCATCACAAAAGCAATGCCATGATTGTCTTTTTATTGATCACATCACTTGTTGCTGTGAATAATAAGTCCAATGATGCGTCTCTTAACAGTTGGTATAATAATATACATGTGTATACCTCAAGCCCAAAAACCAACGAAATGTTGGGCTCAGGTTAGAAAATTTACAAAAGTAAAATAATAAATTATTATTATCTTTAACGTTATACAAAAATTAACACAATAATCAATAAAAACACCAAAACATTTTACATGAAAAACTGGAAAAAAATAAAACAAGAGTCTTGAACTCGATAGATTTGACATGCTAAGACACTCGAATTAATTAGAATCATAACATATTCAAAATCCATTTAACCCTGAAAATTTCCAAAAATCATTTATAACCAATTATTAGCTTGTTCGGACTTGATTTTTGTCGTCCTTTCCAAAAGTCATATCATATTCAACACTCATATTGCATTGATTATGATACCATTAGGTTGTTAGTTCGCTAAAATCAAATTATTACTAGTCTTCAATTTCCTCTCTGTCCCGTTCTATTCATTTCAAATGAGCTTCTGAAAATGTCAAGATCTTAGCTCCCGAGCAAAATTTCCGTCTAAAAACTGCAGTCTAATCACCTGAAATTCAAACCTACTCCTGAACTAAGACAAACACAAGCAAGTTATGAATCTTCATGGTATTTTCTTCATTATTAAAATCTAAATTAAAAACAAATGCTTTTCCAATCACAACACCCATAACAAAACAATCTAGCAAAAGCGAACAAGTTTGGATTTACCATTTCTTTTTTCCAATCTCATCATCCAAGTAGCACCCTAGTGTTTTAAAAAACAAGCGACAACAAACAACAAGACTCAGCAGTCATGGACCAAATCAAAAACCCTAGATAACCAGAACCGTCTCTACTACAAAGACCCAGTTCCATAATAAGATCGGATCTGACGTCCCTTCAGTTTCTCCAGTTCCCATCAGAACCTCCCCCGCCTCTTGAGTAGCGAGATCCGCCATCATAACCACGATCTCGCCCTTCCTACAAACCCGCGCTCCCCCCCTCCACCACCGCCACCACGGTTGTATCCACCATCGCTCCTCCCACCTCCAAAGCCACCATCGTTCCGACCACCTCCACCTCCATATCCACCGCCGCCGCCGCCTCCATATCCGCCACCACCACCGCGATAACCGCCGCCTCCGCCTCCGCCTCCGTTTCCGCCTCCACCGCCGGATCGAGACTGAGCCCGGTTGACGGTGATGTTCCTACCGTCAAGGTTTTGCCCATTCATTCCCTCGATGGCGTCCTGCATAGCCTGCTCGTTACCGTAAGTCACGAATCCAAAGCCCCTCGACCTCCCCGTCTCCCGATCATTGATAACCTACACCAGCAGCAATCAAAAGTATCAGATCTGAGATCTACGACGAGATCGGAAGGCGGACAACGATTTGATCCAGAATCAAACATACCTTTGACTCGAGTACGTCGCCGAAGGTGCTGAAGGCGCTCTGTAGCGATTTGTCGTCCGTTGACCAGGAAAGACCGCCAATGAATAGACGAAATTCAACATCGGAAGCAGCCATGATAGAAAAACGAAGAGGTTCGGAACGATAACCTACAAAGGTAGCGGGAAGAAGGACGTGGTAAGAGGTGGCTGCGATTCCGGCCCACCTCTGGTAGACGGAGCACGAGAAACCCTAGAGTTCCCCGATCAACGTTTTATAGAGCAGCTTTAACCATACTTCAGCGGGCTCACAGCTGTATGACAGATCGCAAAATATCTTCATTGTGGAATTACTGAATTGCCCTGAGACGGACAATAATTCTTATGATCTTATCCCGCTAAATGCCGCCGCGCATTGTTAATCTTGCTTTTTATGTCCCCCTAAATGTTGAATATTACAGCCCTATCTCTTACATTTTTATCACCCAAAGTGGCAAAATGCTCCCACTTGAGCTCACTTTAGTCCTTGGATTTATAAAAATATCAAGTTGATCTCCATGTATATTAAATAAGGGCTCAAATAAACTTTCATAGGACTATTTTAGCCCTAATTTATAAAGTGTCAACCGATTTGACACTAAATACAATATTGTTATATAGAAAGTGTTAATGTTTATCACAAAAAAAAAAAAAAAATTGTAACTTTTTTGTGAAGAATGGTTTACGACATATGGTATTGAGTGAATATGTTTTTTTTAATGATTCATAATATAGTAAATAAAGCATTCTCTACTTATTTTCTTATTCATAGTTCTTTTGCATAATCCTTGGTTCTATTACTTGTTCATTTGTTTTCAAATTAACTAAAGTTTTCATGGAATTTGTCTTTGTAGCCCTTGTGATAAAGGTAATCCCAAATAGTGGGGTCAGTCTAGGGTAATGATAGGCAAAACTTCATAAAAAGAGTGTCTAATTGGATCTTTTATGTTTTATATTTGTGATATTTCTCTTATTTTTGTTGGATTGATGTAAGGAACTTGAACTTTGATTTGCTTGATTATTTCTTTTTGTTCTTGAAAGTTTTGAAGAATGTTAATAATTATCATAAAATTGAATTAGTCGATATCATATATCAGTCTACTAAATACAATAAACACAGAAGATAACACATTATCTGCTATCTGAGAGAAAGAAACATAAATGATTTTTGCGATATTTATTTGAAAGAGATTGAATTAGAAAATATGTCAACGATACATTTTACCAACGAAGGTTGACAGAACATTACAAAAAAAATTCAAGAGAGAATCGGTAGGCGAAAGCTTGTATGACTAAACTCAATTAAAGAAAAAATTGGATGAGTTAAAAAAGATAGAAATTTTTGAATGATGCTCAAGAGAGAATATATTGAACTTGGTTGTGATCCAGTTAAAAATATCATAGATTCATGAGCAGGTTACTCGAATAAAAAGTTAGATGAGAAATAAATTATAAAACATTTGTATTTTTATTTCATTTATAAATAAAAGTATTAGACATTTTTTTTTGTAGAGGAGAAATTCAAGTGGTGTTGTTGTGACTGATGGACATGTCTGTATCCCTCAAGGTTTGAATGAATATAAAAAAAACTCAAATGATCCAATACAAAGATCATCACATGACATAGATGAACATAGTGAATCCAGTCATGCTAAGACTTCGTCTTCTTTAAAAACAATGACATGTCGCAATAAAAAATTTAGCCTTTCATATATAAAAGTCAAATATCAAAATTAGTTACAACTTGCACAAATTTATTTTCATAGGCTAAATCACACAATCGCCTTCATCTATTCCTGTTTTGATAAATATTTTAGAACAAACTACCAAAGTTTATGAAGATATTAAATTACATATATACTACATGAAACAACTTGAAGATCCTGTCAAGAGAGAGTTTTTCTTATCCACGACACCTGAGAAGTGAGTTCATTACTTGCTTTTTTTCTATGAAAATAACAATGATTGATTCATATTAGTTCTATATTTTTTTAGTGAAGTGCACTTGATATGTTTGTAGAACAACTATTTTTTATGTTAATTTTTTTGTTAAAACTTGTTGAGAAATTAGGGCGAAGAAAAACATGAATCGACGCAAAGCTAGAAGAACACAGAGATTTAACGAGGCTCGACAAAGATGCCTACGTCAGCAGAGCAACGATTTTCTTCAATACTCAGAAAAGAGTACAAAATACAAAATATGAGATTCAGAATCTCGGAGTCTCAGAGACTCCCTTAGGGTTACAAACATGACATCTATATAACCCTATAGTACAATATGTAATTACTTAAATTACCCCCGTACCAAACCGCGGGGTATTACCCCCGCACCACCAACCCACATAATGAAATTGCCCTTATTGGACGGATCCTTCCGCTCCACTCTGCTCGTGGGCTCCGCTCCGCTCCATCATCTGTTCCATTTATGATATATGAGCCATACCTAATAAATCTCCACCTTAGCGAATATCCAACCCCTTAGGAGAAATACATATGTCTAACAAATCTCCACCTTGGCAAGTATTCAGCTCTTAGGAGAAATACATAAGCCTAAAAAAATCTCCACCTTTGCGAATATCCAGCCCCTTGAGAGAAAATACATCATAGAGTTTCTTATGCACCAGTGTGAGTTGGACCACCACGCTTCCGCTGTGCCCTCGCTGCCCCCAACCCACTAAATTCTAAGAGACACTCCTCTTCAATTCCAAGAGACATTTCTTCATTCCAAGAGACTCCAAATTCTGGTATTATGAGTCATGCCTAACAAATCTCCACCTTGGAGAATATCTAGCCTCTCAGGAGAAATATATCATGAAGTTTTTTATGAACCAATGTGGGTTGGGCAACAAATCATTTTAAATAATCCTTTAATTAAGATTCACTTAATTAAGTTTCCCAGAAAAACAACAGAATCTTTCCGAAAAAGGATTGAAATATTCCCTTAATTAAGTTTCCAAGAAAAATGACTTTTCCTCAATTACATTTTCCTTGGAAACAGATCTACTTATTCTTAAACATCAACTTTTAAATAACAGATTTTTTACAACTACTTTTTGAACTGAGATTTCATACAACCACAATTGAAACAAAACATACCCTAAATCATAAATATATTGTAAATTAAGGAATCAAAAGAGTGATCCTTCAATCCAAGGTCCAAAACCTTAACAAAATATTGATAATTTTTTTTTTATCTTATGAAAGTATTAATTCTTTTTTAATTTGAATCTTAAAAGCAACTAAATTAAAAATTAATGATTAAAATAAATTTCGAACATGACAAGAGTCCCCTAATCAGAAACAAAAAAAAAAAATCTCCATCAATTTTCGAGCTTATTCAACCATTCTTCACCTCTATGGTTTAACAATATCATTTCGGCGTAATTTTAAAAATTAAAATTACAATTTTCAATTTATTTAAATAACAAAAAATTACGTAATTTTAATTTACAAATAATACAAAGATGCAAGGGTATTTTTTTTTTAACTTTTGATTAAGCAATAATAAAAAAAAGGATTTCATCTTACAAATTACAAAATAAGAAGATCCCTAAATGTATCACAAAATTCCAATAAATTAATATATCCAACCCCAAAATTCCAACATTAAATGATATTTTTGAAATGATATTAGATTTTTAAATATTATAAAAAAAAAAAAAATTGAGATGTTAGATATGCAGTAGTGAATATTACGTACTTTATTCGCATGTGCGGATCGGCGATATTGGGATCCAATACCAACCCAAGAACACCAATTCACACCTAATCCGCACCTCATATTTCTACCAACTGATGGAGGCCAGCCGAATACAGTGACAACAACGACAACGACGACAAGCTGCAATTTGAAGTTTAATAGATAATCGTCCAAATGTAACAAATTCGAAATACACCAATACTAAAGTGCAAAGGTGAATTACAAATTCTCCAAAATTTTACACTTTAATTTTATTTTATCCAAACGGATGACAAATTCTTTAAAACCCTTGTACTTGATTAGGAAACCAAACATTCCCCAAATTAGTTTAGAATTTCAACATAATGTGACCCAGCTTTTATTAAAAAAAATTGGAAAAAATAATAAAGAGTGTAAATTTCCAGATACATTTGTTGGTATTTAACAATCTTATACAGTCAAAATGTCTTACAGATAAGGTAATCCAAGAGGACAGCTTATTATGTAAAAGAGTGGCAGAACATGCCTTATCCATTAAAAGATCATCAAAATAGAGAACTCATCTGTAGTTCTGCTTTCTCACAAAGAAGTAAGAACTGAATCCATTCGCTCCTGTTGATGCCTGCATGTTATGCGTTGATTTATTTTTTACATGTCAAACATAATTTATTTCAAATTCAAACAAAAAACAAAATAAAATAAAAAATAAAAAATAATTCCAAACACCCCCTAAATGAACGAGAGAATTGCAAAATTCCTCTGCTTTGGCGCAAAAAAATTGAAATTTTAAGTGAAATTTACATACATATCACACGATTCTTATGTATTTAGAGATCAAACACCTAAAGTTGATATCTATATTTATAAAACTTTGGTAATATAAACCTATGCGTGAAAAAGGTAATTTTCAATGTTAAAAAATAAGTAATAGTGGTATGCATGTAAATATCAAAATTTAGGTGTTAGATATGTAAATATATAAGAATTGAGTGGCATTTGTGTAACAGCCCCAAAAGAAAAAAAAAAAACGGTGATGTCTTACAACTGTTAGATTTGGGTTACTGAGCTTGGGTAAAACTACCGGCCAAGTCTACCAGAGACAGATTTTGCAACAATGCTTATTGGATTAGAAGGCTTATCCAGCCTGCAAGCAAGAAGCAAACAACCTTCAATGTTGCTATCACAAGAGCTTTAATTTTGATATTCATGAGATAGAGAGAGAGAGAGAGAGAGAGAGTTCCTTGCTATCTCCTCAACAGCTTTCATAACTTCCTCTGAATTAGTTTCCAGGACCTGGCCCGCAAATATTATCTCATCCAATATTGTGTGCAGCTGCACAGAAACATTGGAAATTTTAGAAAAAAGCTATGCATGATTAAAGTTTACAATAAAAAGTAAGAGAGATCACTAGAGATTAAACAACTGCTTTAAAAAATGCATACATAGAAGAAGAAGAAAATGGTAATTGAAGGTCAAGGCATCAGATTGAAGATCAAGCGGTGTTAGAGTTAGCATGTATTAAAGCCTTCCTGATAATGAAATATTATGTGCGGGTAAGGTACGTACGGATTGGTGGTATTGTGGTGGTATTGTAATGAATACCACCACAATACTACCAAATCCACACTTACCCTATCCGCACGTAATATTTCTTCCTTCCTAACACGCATCATCCCATATGAGAAAGGCTTTATCATCATCAACTTTGCTAATGTTGTTGAACATATTTGAGTTGAACATCTTTAAAACATATTTGGCATAAACATAACGTCTTCATAATTCCATCTTCAACATTTTTCTCCACCTGAACTAAATACTTTTCTTCCTCTCTTAGGTATGCGTTTCTTTAAGCAGCATTTGATCTCCAATGACCTCTCTTATTATGTAATGTAAATTTCTATCATGGTTAGATTTACTCTTAGCACATCTCAAATTTTGGTGAGTTTACATATGCCATATATATATTTCTTAATTATCTACTATTTTTACCAGGCGAGCTAGTAATTTGTGGAAACAACTCAATGGAGAAAAACAAAACCGAAACAAATTTGTCTTGTTTCACCGTAAGGTCAACTGAACTTGTAGATTATTTCAATTGCGATTACTTTATGCTGGCATGGGAAGCATGATGGCTACTCTAGGTTTATTATAACTTTTTGGGGAACTCAGCAAATCAAACAGATGTGCATTTCGCCACCATTGTTGATATAATCAATTGATGAATTCATTAAAACTTCAACGATCTTGACCCCTCTTATCCCTTCATGATCTAATGCCCAAATCATAATCATAAAGAAATATGATTAATAAACATCTTGATATGCTCCCTAAAAAACAATTATTTTTGTATTTTGTGCATTTTTCAGCACATCAATAACAAAATTTTAAACTCTCTCGCACGATAGGTTACAAAATTGAACCACATAAAATTTCTCTTATTTATGAGTAATAGTCTCAGTTTCATTAGTTTCCCATGCATTCAGCAAATCAACGCAACTTCCCTTCTTCAAATGAGTCTCAAAGCAAATACTTATCTTCTTCCTTATCCTACTGGAAGAAAAATCTCTTCCTTCACACTCTCATATTCCCATTAGATGTGTCAAATTCCATGTAATCATTGATTTTAGTTTGAACGTAATCATCCATTGCATGTTTTTCACAACAATCAAGTTAAAATGTGGCACGTCACTTAATGGGCAGCAAAATTCTCAAACATCGTCTACTTTTCATAATCATATTTAATGAGAATCTATGAAAAGCACAAATGTTGTACCACTAGTAGAAGCAACGGATTAAGACAAGAACAGAAATTCAATGACCCTGGTCCAATGTTCTAAATAAGTGGAAATCCCTCCATATTTGCAAAATAATCAGCACTCCAAAATCTTTCACAATATGTAAATGCATTCACTAGTTCAGAGATAGTTGAACTCATCTAACCGACACGACTAAAAAGCACAATCATGGAAACAGTTAAGAATGTCAGAATAACTTAGAAGAGGATGAACACAAAAATGTCTGGAAGTGTTACCTCAAGCTAAGAAGAAAAAATCAGAACGAACAAGTAGGATTAGCAAAAGGTAAAATTGAAATATTATCGCTAAAACAAGACTAAAGTGTAATAATCACAAAAGGAGCACTGCACAAATAAAAAGCTATATATATATATATATATATATACAGAGAGAGAGAGAGAGAGAGTTCCAATTTTTCCTTTTCCAAACAAATGTACTGCTAACATAAAAAACTAATGAATAGATTTATCCTTGATCTGATCAAACCTGTTTAGCAAATCTCACCAAAAGATGGTTTACCACCCTAACAACAAGTATTATTGCACTGAAAATTTTGTTTGCTGCATTAACGCAAAGTTCAGAGAGGAGGCTTGTAAAAACTAATTAGGAATTTGTCAAAGCTAGACCATTCCATCATGCGTGTACTAACTAGCCTTCTATTTTAAAAGCTCATCATTTTGTTTGGCAACAATAAATGATGTTATTAATTCGTTAATACTAGATATGCAAAATTAAAAAAATTAAATTCAATTGCCATTTTCCTCCATCTACCAAGGATCTCCTTTCTATATTAACAATCCTGGTGTAAGTTTCTATGGTCATACCGTGGATATAAAACTCTATTAACTTCCTATTATACCCCTTTTCATAAATTAAAACTTCCATCAGCCGTATAATCTGTATTTCTCATACAAGCACAGTCCCATCGAAAAGTAAAATATAAAATACTCACATTTAAGTGATTTTGGAGTTCTTTTTCGGGATTGAGAATTCATATTAATTTCTAACATCCTCCAACAAACGACAATCTAAAAATGTCAGCAGTTTTCAGAATAAGTTTTCTTACTTCTAGCAAATAAATCAGCCGGAAGATGGCAAATCCTTGAGACAGTTCCAAATGTTAAAATTGTTTAACAATACCTTGCTAAAATTGAATACAAGGTCGAGCTCACAGACATTCTTGAAGCATCTTTCTAATGTCTCAACAAAAACTGAGATAAATAAACATGGTTAGAGCATATCAAAGCAAACTGATGGAAAAATCAATAAATTCTAAGAGATAAAGAAACTTTCTAGAAGACCTCACATTGTTGCATGAAGATAAAAAAACATGTTTTAGAAATTGATGATTTGAGAATGAAACAGAAAGCATTACATTTGAGGGAGTTTGAAAATTTTTTTAGTGTTTAAAACAGACTTATTTCTAATTACAGCCAACTAAATGATGGAATCCAACAAATTCACTGTTAGTGTTTTTTCTTTCAAAACATGTTTTTAAACTTCAGACAATCAAATCAGACCTATAAAATAAAACTATATGCATTCCCTTGTCAGCCACTTGGATTCCTAGTAATTTGATTGCAATATTTTGATAAGCTCTCAACATACCCTGTATGAGGTCCAGCATGGCTAATTCATTTTCAGAACTGTCGAAAACAAAAACAAAGTACAGCGTTGCAAGGTGCTTGTAGACTGCCCGTGTATCCTGGAAAGATGAATTCGGGAAAGCTCAAACTCTGTTTAAGTAGTATCAACAATGAAAAATGAAAAAGAAACTAATTTATAGAATATCCAAAAGTAACGGTGAAAAGAAAAGCTTGTAAATTCTAGTAACCATTTGATTTCATCCTTACTTTCCGTTCTTTTATAATCTACTTCTTTTCATAAGATAATCAAAAGAGTTTTGCTAGAAGATTTGGAACAAATACACTCCTATTGTTATATGGTTGTGTTCATAAAAGAAAAGAACCCATGTGAAAGAAAATGAGTTATACGGACAGTGAAGCTTATGAATAGTTAATATATATCCAAAAACAGATATTTTGAGGTTTCCATCATTAATCACAAGATTAGATGCTCAAGGAAGGAAAAATGGATTATATAATTTAACCTTCATTAGTTTGTCATTGTCAGGAGATTATATTAATTTTTGTACTCTTAGCATATTCTGAAGTAAACCATAAAATGAAAGGAATAGTAGCTGTTTCTTGTCTATTGTTTGAATAATAGCCTTGAAATAAAAGTGAAATTTTTATTCTATCTCTTCACTAATAATTTTTCTATACCATTCACGAGATTTAGAATATTTTGGAGAAAGACAATCACGGATGACAATCATGACTCTAGTTTACTACCCAGTTCGTAATTCATAAAAACTAAAGTTCATTTCTGAGAGAGTGGGAGATTAAATATATCTCACTAAGTGTAATATAAGATTAGAATTTAATTGGACATTTGTAATAAGTTCAGTAATAATTTCATCAGTTGATAGTCTTCTAGCGACTGAAAAGGATGATGGAATTGAGACTCTAGGTAGAGATATCAATTTTATAATTAACTATTAGCTTAGGGATAACACCTGATTGTATGGTACACAATTCTGAAAAAGAAATTTCATTCTACTTAATAATCCTACTTATATTTATGTTTGAAGCATAAAAATTAATTTAGGTTAAGGTGGTCATATTTAATGGTTAAACTACCCCTGCAGTATTGGGACACAAGGTATTCATGCCTTTGAAATGTAATCAGTAAACTAATGCAATAAGTTATAATCCTCGTAAGAAGCCATAATCATGAAATTTAAGTTGTCATTTTGCAACTTCAAAGATATTAATATCAATCAACAAAAAACTTTGATTGTGGAATGCATTCAAATAAACAGGTTCATGACATAAATTAGTTTCCATAAGTCCTATAAGGGGTTGAATTAAGACATCTATCGCCGCGAAGCAAATATTGAGGCATTTAATCCTTTTAGTGTCAAAAGTTTTGAAAGCGATAAAAGTAATAATATGTGAATATATTTATTATTTTGGAGATACTTAAATCATCTTTTGATAAAAGTGGGATAAACTTTTCAGGCCATTCTATGGTAATATATTGTTCCACTATTTTAATTAATGAATTTCCTTTGAAATCAAAAGATCCAATTCTATAAATAATAGTTCTCTCTGCATTCCGAATAGACCATTTATTCCTTATTAAGACGATATTCAACAAACAACATTTTTTACATTGGATAGTCTCATAGAAGATGTTTTAAGTATTAAAGAGGTTGAATTCATATTCATAAAATAAGGTACTCATTATGTATGCATTAGTATAATAAGGTCAAACAAAAAGATCCAAGAGAATTTATGAGCTATTTTCTTCTCAAAGTACATGCTTAAAATTTAAGAGCAACTAACCAAACACCACATCGAGGGTTTCACAACCAATGATTAAAAATCAAATTGGTACTCATCAAAGAATCCATAGCCAATAACTTGTCTATAGAAATATTATTTCATAAATTATTAATAACTAGTCAATGATTTACTCTCGTAACAAAGTTGTCTTATGCAAGTTTATCATTAATATTCTACTGCATAATAATACTTATTTGACATATTATATTCATAAAAGTAGCAAGAGAAAATTACACCATCATATCTTTGATATATAAACAAGCAAGATTTGACTTATCTAAGAAAATGCAACTATTGAAAGCTGAGATTTAAAAGTACTTGAAGTAAACGGCTTACATGGTATAATACATGAAATTAACAGACAACAATGCATTATGATTACAGACTCTCAGGGACTCAAATACACTTCTAATAAACACATAAAACCCATGAACATATAAGCTCTAGAAAACATACTTCAATTTGGATTTCAAAGGACTAAAAAGTGATAAACTATAAAAAGATTCAATAATAAAATTATGAGTACAATTTTTTTAAAATATTAAATGATTGTACTGAAACTTTGATTTCTTCACCAACAATTGATACTCGATAGGTGTAGTTAATTCCTTTATTCTGGATTGATATGGGATCAATAGCGATGAAGACCATTGCTATCTTTTGTCATTTGAAATTTGCTTGAAGATATCAGTTATAACTCATCCCACATATTCATCATATCATCACTTTCTTCAAATGTCTTTTCAGGTCGAGACATTTTCTTAGCTTTATTATAATGTAAATATATATGCTATTTATTTTTTCAATATATTTTTTTTATTTCCTTTAAGGACTCATTTGAAATTTTCCATCATAGACTGTTATGAATAGCATTAAGAGAAAAATCTTCTTTCTGAGAGATTAATGAAGTAATGCTTTGTTGGAAATAATAAATTTCTCAATGAAATTTAATCACCTCTTCAATTTAATCGTTGTTCACAATATAATTGAGAAGTTTCTAAATACATATTTTCAATTTAGAGAAAACTGTAGAATCTCAATATTATTGTAAAACCAAATACAAGATATTTGACATTGAGTAAAAAAGAAAATTATGATGGTCCCTCATAAGAAATTTTGATGATGTTCTAGTAATATAGGAAGAAAATTTTGTCCATCAAAATACATTTTTTTTTTAAATGGGAAAGAAGAAATTAGGTAATTGTACCAAAATTGACATTGAGTAAAAAAGAATTGCTTCGTAGATGCTTCTATCAAATATTGATTCATGTAAAAGTAGACTGTTTATTTATATACGTTTCCAACATTCTCTAGGGAGATGTAATATGGCACTCAATAGGACTCAATGGAAAAATGATTCATGTAGTTGATCACACTTAGCGGAATAATGGCTTGTTGTTGTCATTGTCTTTTAGAGCGAATTTAATATTTTATTATTTTGAAGTAATTTGATGTTTATAAGTGAATCCGAGGAGAATTCTTTTTCAGGTTTGTTATCTTGATTAGCAAGCTCAATATTAGCTATGCTATTATTCTCATTTTGAGATATTTTTAGGCAATTATTTCTACTTCAAGATAATTAATTTATGTTTTAAGATCTTATATAATAAGTAGTGAAGATACTCTTTTTTCGGCCATATGATTGTGAACATCTTTCATACTACACATAGGAAAGTGTTCAAGGGGCGATTTAAATTTCTTTTCATAATATATTTTTACTTCCCTATATATAATATGAAATATGTGTATACTCGTATGACCGAAAATGTTTATTTAGAATTTTTTTTTAATAAACGATCGACACCTATCAAAATTGAATGAAACATTAAATCCATTCAGAAAGTATTTAGTTCCAATAAAGCATTACTCTATAAAACACATCATAAAAAATAATTTTCATTTGAGCCTATACATGCCAATCTACAACAAAAATTTTTAAATGAATTCCCAGAAAAAATATATTGCAAAAACAAATAATAAATCTTTTTTCTAAAAATGAAAATGAAAGAATATCTCAATCTGAAAAGATACTTGAGCAAGTGACGATATGATGAATAATTTGAAGAGTTACAATAGACAATCTTCTAGAAGGATCCAGATTATAAAAGATAATAATGGTCCCGACCACTACTAATCCCGTACAAATCCAGAGAGAATAATCCACTTCTTCAACTATTCAGTAACAATTATTGGTGAAGGAATCAATCTTTCAGTAGAATTATTTAATCTTTGGAAAAATTATCAATTATTGAATCTTTTTAAGATTTGTCTCTTTTTTTATGTTTAGAAATACGATTATTCGTCTTTCATAACCCGTCTATTTAAGAGTAGTTCGTGTTTGTTGAGATTGTGTCTGAGCACTTGAGAGTCAATAATCATAGTACGATTGTTGCCTCACAAGTTTGTGCACTCTACGTTATAGCTTTTCTACTTTAGGTGCTTTAAATGTCAGCTTTCAATAGTTGTAGTTTTTAGGTAAATCAGATCTTGCTCATTTTGGTATAAGATGATAAAAAATAATATATAAATATAAATAATTTTGTCATTTTTCAGCTTTGATACCAAATCTACATCTATAGAACCAATTATTTATGAATACCTTATAGAAAAAATAAATTTCCTAGATAACAAGTAAAACAAAATTTATAAACCGTGGAACAATGTACCTTGGATGGAAATAAAACCATTTACATAACTAATCATTTTATTATTTATTTATTTTAATCCATGAAGGCTTGACCATAAATATAATGAAAAATATCCCATCCCTGAAAGGATTTATGGATGAAGAGGGATTAATAAACTCAAATATAGTAAAGCTTAAGTAAAAGATAAAATGGATAATGCTCACACATAGAGAACCACATCAATATGCATTTATATAAATTTTGAGATTTTTGCAACATCTGAAAATAATTTGGATGTCAGTATCTATTATCTAAGTTAAAACCTATCAATTATTTTAATGCGATTGAATGAATTAGAAAAATTAAGGGATTTATATTAGATTAGTGAGGCGAACTAATTCAGTGAGCAAAGTTAAGTATTTGATTGGATAGGAAAAAAACTGAATTCTTTAGACTTAGAATGGGAAAACAAAAATAAAGGAATTGAGTGGGGCAATGAAAGAGGGAAAAGAAATTATATAAATTCCCTTAACGTAGATTGGGAGTTTTGAAGGAGGAAAAATTTATCCATCTCAATATTGATTGAAAGTTGAAAAAAATAAAATGAAATCAATATTCTAAAAAAATTTAAATACATGTATACATATAATGAACAATGAATATGCTTGTATTGAGAAGGAATAAAATTTTCTTCTTTTATTAAAGAATAGGTAGCTTGGATAGGACTAAAAGCATGTTTGCACACATTTTTTCTCTCAATTTCCACTAATTTTAAGAGAGAAACAAGATCCTCGTCATAGAGGAAATCTCACCACTCATTTTAAAGCCACAGTCTAAATAAAATATTTACCTTGTTTCTAATCCATTTTTTTGTAAGAAATTTTAACTCCTAATCAATTATAAAGTAACTAATTAAAACTAGACAAGCTAAGATGTAAGATAGCTATTAAAGTGCCACTAAAAGTACAGATTAATTGCCTGAATTTATAAATGACAACTTAATAAATAATTACCTCAATTAACTTCAAGATTACGATGGTAAGGTAATTGTGTGCTCTAAAAATTTGTGCCCATCTTTTTGGAAAAGGCGCATTAGTATATTTTGAGCAAAGACACTACCCAAAAACTCCACCCTCATTTTTAAAAGGACTTTATGATCCAGTTTCAGGTTTCCCATAAACGTAAACTTTTACCTCTACATGTACTTTTCTCGACAAGAACACCGAAGGTTTTCTCCAAATCATCTCTTTTTGTTCTAACAAATAGCAAAAAAGCAATAACTTATAACCTTGATGATACCAAATGTCCAACAGAAACCAATAGCTCCCTTCAATTCATCATTACCACCTACGACTATTAGAAGTTTGAACCATTAATTGGCATGAATTTTTAGGACTTTTTCAAATGTGGTAGCAGAAGGGATTCAATGAATTCCTTCAAGGAAGAACCGGAAATAGAAATATTTAAACAACCCTTAATGCTAAAGTGACAATTTTTATGCATTGGTAGATCACCTTCAGTCAATAACACTCATTTATTAAAAAAATTTACATACGGAACATGCAAATTCTTATGTATGTACATCTCTCACACAAAAACTTTCATATTTACATGCATGGCACTTTGGTGTTTTAAACCTATGCATGAAAAGGTGCATTCCAGTTTGAAAAAGAGGTGATAATGCCATTTTTGATGTGATATTAAAGAGGTAATAATTCTATGTTATGTGAGTAATTATGAAAGTTTAGATGAGAGCTATGTAAATACATAAGAAATGTGTTACTTTTTCCCTATAACATGTAAAGCAAACCATTGTCTTAAGCAATGTGAATGTAACAAATATGAGGAAAGATTAGGATCATACTTTACCAAAAATTGCATCTGTCTTGACAAAGTTGCTCACATTATCTGCCCTGCTACTCAGAACTGGACGGAGAATCAAAATGCATAAGCAACCAAAAAAATAAGCTGCATGGGGAGAAATAAAACAGAGGAAAAAAGGAATAGGGTTCACCACCTCCATAAATGCTGCGAATCAACTCCTGCTGCTTCTCCGGCGGCTGCGATTCAGAACCGAGGTGACGATTACGCAGAAACAATACAAAAAGGAACGGTAGAGGGGAAAAATAGATAGAATTAGGAGAAGAGACAAACCCTACAACATGCGAAAGAATGACAATATGCAATATTCGAAGAAGGCAAACAAGAAAAGAAGAAATACCCGAAACTCGTAGAATCTAACGAGCCGGGGTTTTCCCTGGGTGTTCATCACAATCACCGCCCGAATCATGGCCTCTCGGTAACTCGCAATCCACAGTATGAAGGTACTTCGCCAGTTATCGCAGAGCGAACAACTGAATCCGAGAAAAAAAAAAAAAACGAAATTTGAGTTTGTGAGGCTGGCTGGTAGCAGAATTTAACCTAATACCAACAGAGAACTCTACAACTTAAGGGTTGATAGGCTGCAAGTAAGATTTGATTCAGCAAAATCATTTTTTAATCTTGTTTTAAGAAACATTGATCAAATTTGGATCAAACAATATCAAATAATTGTTCAAATACAGTTTACATGCATAATTTAAATACATATCTAAATGGGTTCAGACATGACTTTAACATACATTTTGAATAATGTTCCAACAATGTTTAAATATTAATTAAATAAAATTTTAAAATATTTAAATATACTTTTAGAAAGTTCCAAACATAAATTGCAACACATTATTAATGATTTAATCCAATAAGTTGAGCACAATCCAAATAAGGAAAATTTAATTTCATTTTGATCCGATTACCATTCAGGTTAGATTTGAGTCAGAATTATATACACAATTATTGTTCTGGTTATGTCTAGATTAAGAGTCGGCTACAACTTAATAAAAAATAATTGTGAAGCTATTGAAAGATAATTTGATGTTTAAAAAAGTATGATGGAGATTATAATTTTTTTAATTTTTTTAGAAATGGTCATATCACAGCTAGAAAATTGTCATCGCACCAAGCCAAAACCTATGAAATAACATAAATTTCAGCATCAATTTTTTGAAAAATCAGTCAAAACGCACCTCGGGCTCAAACAGATTCTAACTGGGATTGGGTCAAGTTCGTTGGGATGAATGGGTTAAATCAGGTTAATTAACTCGTGTTGATTAAGCAAAAAAACTTATTAAATCACTAAAAAGTTGCACCATCAATCAGTATTGATTTGCAGCAAAACTATAATTTAGCGAACATATGCTATTAACATTTGCTAATTAATTCTAAATGTTTAATCCAATATTGAAAGATTGTTTAAACCTGTCGGAGACGAAACAGAATGAACTTGATGACTTAACTAATCCGGAGCACTTGTCAGCCAGTTGGTAGATTAGGGTTTTAGTGTGATTTTGGTGTGAATCGACTGGGAAGTTGAGTGAAAATGGCATCGATCTACCGCACCGCTGCTGTGAGCGCCGTGAGATCAGCCGCATCACGATCCATGGCAGTACTTACCAAACCACCGACTTCGAGATTGGTCACTCCTATCATTTCCAGGTTAGACGATGTTTCTGAAATCCATGGATTCCAATCATTATCAACTTTATCTTCAAATCAATTTATCGGAATTTGACTCGTCGTGTTTACCTTGGCGAAGGCCGCTTTCATCGGCCGTTGGAGCACTCGATTCGCTGAGGCCTCTGCACAGCGCAGTTGCCTCTGCCCGTCTCATATCGAACATAGCCGTCGATTCTTCCTGCTGGAGCTGGCTCTCTCAAGGTACGCAGATGCAATTATTAATCTTCATGATTTTTATGTGCATGTAAATTGCTTTTTTTAACCGGAGGGACTCCTCACGATGAAGTACACATAGGGATCATTTGATTGCCTCGAATGGTTTGTATTGTCTGTAGGAATAACAATTTGAGCGTTAACGCTAAGAATTAAGGTTGTATAGGGGTTTTTGCTACAAACAGCATGTTTTTGGTTATTTGAAATGGAGGTATTGAAGTCATTAAGAACACAAGCTATTGTGGAAGAATCATCCAGGTAACCATCAAAAGAAAGAGCAGAAGAAAGGGTGGGTGCACAAATAAAGGATATGACAAAAGATATATGCGCAAGAGGTGGGGCTGATTGGAGCAAGGAGAGAGAGAAAAATAATGCATTAAGGAAGGAGCTCTGTTGGAGAAGTGGTAGAAACAAAAATAAACGTTCTTCTTCCTTGGAAGAACTTTAAGCCATGCATATTTGGTTGGATGAGATAAATATGAATGCTTTCACAGTTCAAACCATATCATTTGGGCTGACCAATGATGAACTTGAAATTCCTTGCACCGTGCTCTCTGGGTAGACTAAAGATGAATATGAAGGTTTTTTTGTGTTTAGCCCTGGGGCTAGTTGAAAATGAATAAGAGCAACTTTGCAATTGTTCTTTGAGTCAGGTGAAGTTGAGCATGAAGATTTCTGCATCATCTCTGTGGGCCAATCATAGTGTGGAATACTCCATGTTTTTATCCCAAGGGATCAAGCAAGTCCATTTTATTGAAGAAAATACCTATGAAAGGACTCCACGTGGTAAAACTTATAATAGAATGTAGCAATAATATAATGACAAAACATGCCTTTTGTCGCCAGTCTCTTAGAGCAATAGTGCATGGTGTATAGTGTGGGAGGGAAGATATTTGAAGCACACAAGAACAACAACAAGCCTTTATCCCACTAAGTGGGGTCGCCTACATGAATCATTTTTCTCCATTATCCTATTGAGTGTCATATTTTCATTTAATTCTAAACAAAACACACACGCACACACACATACACACAAAAGAAGCTAGACATAAATAACATATTAGATTGCCTTAACTTTCATGAAAGTTTAAAAAAAATATTAGATTGAAAAAGAATTTATTAATAATTGTAATAATGCATACTATAAAAAAATTCAAATTATAAGAAATAGCTTTTTTTGTAATTCTCATTTTCACTTCCTTTTCTTCATAATTATCATTTCCAGTCCACCTTCTTTATCATCTTCATTATTTTCTTATTCATTATCATCATTTTCAAGTTCATTTAGTTTCTTTAACGGACATATGTATGAAATTCTAATTCAACATCTTCATTTAATAATCATTCAAATTCATTTTTAATCACTCATTAGCATTATATATGCCATCCACTGAAAATGGATTAATGATTTCACAATGACCGTGTCTTCAAATTAGCGACCTCTTGTAATTAATGTGAATGAGATCCTTGGGGTGTCACGATCCATCTTACTTCTTTTGTCATGGTGCTAGAGCAAAAATATAATAAGCTATTTAAAATTTAAAATTTTCATATTAATAATCAGTCTGCCCATGCATATGTATTTAAATGTTCAAATACATTTTAATTATTTTTCACATCAGCTGAACTACATGTATAGGTAAGTACTTTAATAAAAAAAAATGCAAATATAAGATCTTTAGGCTTGCAAATGAATCGAGTCGAGTTGAGATGGAGCCTGTTCGAGCTCGAGCTCATTTATTAAGGCCTGTTTGAGCTTGAGCTTGTTTATAAATATCTTGTTCGAGTTTGATTCATATAATGACCATTGAACTTATCAACGAGCAACTCGTTGAACAAAATAAACAAGCCATAATCGAGTTTTATGCGAGCAACTTGTTGGAAAAATACACGAGTAATATTAAACAATTCTTGTTGATCTTAAAAATAAATATTTAAGCTATACTTTTTATGAATGAGCCATAATCAAGTTGTAATTGAGTTTGTTCACAAGCTTTAAATGATACTATTCATGAACATAAATGAACCAAACAATAAGCTGTTCAATTTGTTCATTTAGTAATTAAATACTAATGAAAGTGTTCAAGCTCGTTTGATTAATTAATCAAACGATTATGATTGAGCTTTAACCGAGCCAAGCCACAAGTTGCTTGTCGAACACTTAGTTTATTTGCATTCCTAAAGATCCTTATAACCATTTGTTGCCACAAGTCAACTAGATGTGTAATAAAATTCATACTAATTGTTATTTTTTTTAAGATTGAAATTTTAATCTTTTACATGATGCCCAAGTAATCTCGTCTCTTGGCTAGGAACACCAAAAAAGTCAATTCTTTTGAATGCACAAACTCAACCCATTGTTTTTTTGTTTTCTTTTTCAACAATATTTCAAAAGGATGTTCTATAATATTGCTTTGTGATTGCTTAGCCTTTGCTTCTTGGTAAAGGACCCATCACAAATTCTATACTTGTGAACACTTTCTTTAAATTATATTTTTGTTTATAAAATTGCTTTAAAGAAAAAAAAAAGAAAAGCCATCAAATTGAGTTTTAGTTTATTTACTAGTGCTTTTTGATACGTGAATCTTATCTTCAAATTTAGTATTGTGGTCTTGAATAAATGAAACTATGCTTGAATTCTGCTATCCTCCACACTTGTTGATTTTTCTTTGTTGCATGCCACATTGAGGATATTGTGGGTTCAATGATTGCGGTGACGCCGAAGGTAACTTAGGAACAAAATGTTGAAGATGCTTTAAAGGCCGCTTGTTTAAAATGGAACGACTCAGTTCACTTGTATGTTGGAGGACAATCATACAAAGTCTTTTGGTTTAGCTTCATTGACTTGATGAACATGGTGTAACCTATGCTCAGCTGCGGTCAGGCCAAAGTGCATGTTTATGGTCTAAGAGTGGCTAGTTGTACTAAATTTTATATAATAATAATAATAATAATAATAATAATAATATTATTATTATTATTATTATTATTATTATTATTATTATATGTCGATCAAGGATTTTAGGTTTTTGGTCACGACTGAGGATATAGTCCTATTTTAGCTCGAAATCAGTTGGGGATGAAATAATGAGGTGGTGCCATCTAGCGATAATCGCCTGCACGACAGATTCCACCTGGAGTGGAAATGGTGGCTGAACTATGTAGAACAATTTTGTCTTTCTCGGTGTGGCCTTTTGTGAAATTTATAACCATTTGGAAGAGCTGGGAAGGGTTTGATTGTGTTCATGGAGCTTCTAATTGTAGCTATAGTGTGTTGATTTCAGCTTAAGTTCCTTAATGTCTTGGGTTTGGGCTGGGCTGGAACTCAGGACAGTTCTTGTTTTATTCGGTTTGGGCTTTTGATAGGTTTTTAGTAGCTGGGTAACCTTTTCAGAAGGGTTTGAACTAGTTCAGGATATCATTTATTAAATTCTTAATGTCTTAGTTGGATTAAAATCATATTACTTAAGATTTTAACGTGATTTGATTCAAAGCTTTGCTCGGTTTGGGGCTTCAGCTTGGCTTAAGCCAGATTCAAGTGAACTTGAGTTTACTTGGGTCAACCACTAGGACCTCTAAGACTCGAGTTAGGCTTGATTTCAATAACCTTGATTTTAATTCCATCTGGTCCAATAAAACCCAACTAGATTATTAATGGGTTATGTGATCTACCAAGCGAAATTGAGATTACTTGGCTTCAATTTTATTTGGTTAAGTTGATTTTGACTTAGGAAATTATATGCCTAAGTTTAATTTAAATTTGATTTAAATTTTTGTAGTCTTGGTTTAAGGTGGCTCACTTGAGTTAATAATGGATTAAATTACTTATTGACCCAATTATGATTCAACTAGCTTCAATTTTCATTTATTTAAATTTATGTTGAATTAAGAATTTGACTAACCTTAACTGAATTTTTGTTTGGATTAATTTTGAATTGGGTGAATTTTTGGAGTTAAGTAACTTTAGGTGAGTTTGACCCAACATCCCCTTGATGGTCATGTATTGGTGACATAAAATGATCCATTTAAGTTCAGTCTTGATTTGTATAACCAAGTAAGTCTTTTGGGGATACATGATTAAGTTGATTTATTTAATTTAGTTGAGCTTATTTGCTATTTCAAAGGGTCCTTGGATAGTCTATTAGGTCAAGTGAAAGTAGGCTAACATAGGGTTCATTTAAATATGTTCGAATGAACTAGAAGCTCGTTAAGTTCATTATGAATCAATGCTTGAGTAATAGAGGTTTGATTTGTTTAGTAATTCCCACAAGGTCCCTATAAGTTGCTTGGTTAAACTAAGTTGACCTAGTCTCTTTATGCTTATGTGGTGGCTAGGGAGGGTTTTGAAGTCACCAGGAAAGGGCTCCTAGGGCATTGCAATTGATTCTGGGTTGATTAAGTCCAAGGTCCTATGGTGTACCTATTGACTCATTTTAGTTGACCATAAACTTGTTATTTGATTTTGAAATCCTACTCTGTAGAAGTCAAAACTTATCTTTTTTAACCTTATTTTGAGGATTCCATGAAATCTTCAATTCTTGGTTTTGTTGGACTTTATGTAACACCCTTGAGGCAAATGCATGTAATTTATGATTATTTAGTTCAATAAATTTTACACTTCCTCTTAAACTTTCGTGCACCAGTTAGATGTTGTTGAAATTCAGAAAATGCAGAATGTTTTTATTGATATGAAAGGGGTTATAAATAATCCTTATATGAATCCTAAAATAGGAAAGACAATAAAAAAAATAACAGAAAAAAAGACAACACTTAATATATCCAACTAATCAATTCATATTAATTATCTGATAATAAATGAATTCAATCAATGAAAATAAAATAAGAAAGTTAATAAATTATATTAGGTTGCCTTTGACTTTTCACTGCGGTTATCTTTGACTGCAGTTCATGCAATGTCTGTGGGTAGGCGGAATTCTCTTATAGGTAATGCTGCATGGGAGTTTGCTGGGAAGTAGACAACCTGTAGG